GAACCTTCGGTCACAACGGCAGGGAGGAATGAACAGCCCCAAGGAGCTTGGCAACAAGACATACGGCGCGCATCCCCTCAGTGCTTCCAGCAGCTCCGTCAACATCGCTTCCCAGTTCTCGCGCAACCAACGCACTACACCCACCGAAACACCACAGACAGCCCGCTTCGCCCACCACGTTCGTGCGAGTCCTAGCGTGGACAGTGCCACCAACAGCGCCATCTTGCCACACGACAAGGCGCTAGTCCGTGTTATCTACGATGGCGGACGCACCTCAGTCGTGAACATCGAAGGCTGCAAGACGGCCGAGGAGGTCATGCTGAAGACCCTGACCAAGGGCCACCTCAACACCGCCCATGTCAAGAACTACTGCTTCTACATTCTCAACAGCCCAGAGCCAGACCCATCGCTATCTGAACGCTTGAGTGACATCGAGCTCTTCAGACTCGTCAAGGATGCCAACAGACACGAAAGAGGCCGGTTAATACTTCGCAAGGTTCACGCTGGTGAGCCGGATGAAGACCAACTGAAGGCTGCGGCTGGCATCTACGCGCAACAGAACTTCCAGCAGAGTTCCACCGTCTACGTACCGTCAAGCAACCGCAGCCAGATCAAGATTGAGAAGCTCACGGGCGAGTCGCTTGCTGCTGTCAGCTACCCTCTATCACCAACATCCGCGAGAGAACGAGAACGCCACATCAACTCAACAGCCCAGAATCTGGAAGGACCCTCTGATCCAAACAGGTCACCAGTCTTCCAAGCTCGTGCCCGGAAACTAAAGCAGTTCTATGGTGCTCGACCTCCCAGCGAGCTCATTACATCCGACCTGACCTCCTACTTCCCTGACGTCGGAAAAGATGAGATTGACAAGACCGTCCGCATGTCGATACGTCGCTCTCACCGACTCAGCCGCGCAGCCTCGCGTCTATCGATGGCATCCAACTTCAGCGTTGCTTCCAGCCTGAAGGATGCGCCGCCACTACCATCCATCGCCGACACTTGGCTCCAAGGTGGTGCTCAAGCCCGCCCACTTCGCCCACTTTCGGTCATGCGACTTGGTCTGCCCAACCAATCTGGGTACCGTGACTCTATGGCATCTTCTGTTCTGGAACCTCTAGACGAGGAGTCACCTCTCGAACCCAACCGAAAATCATATGTGTCGTTTGGTGGTGAATCGGATACCCTTGCCATTACAGACCCGGAGGGCAACACCACTCTACAATCCTACTTCGACGACGGGGGTAGCAGCCTTACGGGTAGCAGTAGCAGCAACACCGAGAACGGCGACTCACTCAACAAACGCCTTTCTGAGGCCATTGCTGAGGATGGCGAAGAGTCAGACGATGAACTGGCCGAGTATCTCGAACAGGACTCCTGGGACAACGTCAAGTACATGAAGGGAGCTCTCATCGGACAAGGTTCTTTCGGCAGCGTTTACCTTGCCCTACATGCCGTCACCGGTGAGCTCATGGCCGTCAAGCAGGTCGAGCTTCCTTCTGTAGCTGGCGCCTCCCAGATGGACAGCAGGAAGACAAACATGGTGGAAGCCCTGAAACACGAGATCGGCCTGCTACGAGAACTCAAGCACAAGAACATCGTGCAGTACCTTGGCTCCAACTCAGATGAGAGCCATCTCAACATTTTCCTCGAGTACGTCCCAGGTGGTTCCGTGGCAACCATGCTGGTGAACTACGGCCCGCTCGGCGAATCCCTCATCCAGAACTTCGTACGCCAGATTCTGACCGGTCTTTCGTACCTTCACTCCCGGGATATCATCCATCGCGACATCAAGGGTGCAAACATCCTCGTCGACAACAAGGGCTCAGTCAAGATTTCCGACTTCGGTATCTCCAAGCGCATTGAAGCCTCTACACTGGGTGGCGGCAAGAAGGGAGCTCAGCGCGTCTCCCTTCAAGGTTCAGTCTTCTGGATGGCACCAGAAGTCGTTCGACAGACAGCCTACACCCGCAAAGCCGATATCTGGTCGCTCGGCTGCCTGGTTGTCGAGATGTTTACGGGAAGCCACCCGCATCCCAACTGCACTCAACTGCAAGCCATCTTTAAGATCGGTGGTAGTGGTGATGCCAGCCCTACCATTCCAGACAACGCTGGCGACGATGCTCGAACCTTCCTGGCCCAGACCTTCCTCATCGATCACGAGAAGCGTCCCAGTGCTGACGAGCTTCTCGCCAGCCATTTCATAACTAATCAGGGTGCATAAATTTTCACATACGGCGCACAACATATTTCTAGCATGGAACGGAGAAGCATCATTGGGAATTTCGTGGTATATCCTGATCATCTAGTGGTCCCCAAGGTGTTCTGTTCTTTGGGAGTTTTTCCCTTTCTAACGCCCTTAACGCTTACATGCGCGAATGATTCTGTACTATACCACTTTTCGATACGCTTTTCTAGTAGAAGGAAAGGGAGGTGCTACGCAGCATGTGCATACGCTGCTGAACTTTTAATGGGTGCTTTGGATGGGGCGCAGACAGTTTGTACTATAGCTGTCTATTAGATCTATCTCGACCCCTTCACAACCACTATCTTCGTATACATATCAAACATTGCTCTAATCCAACGAGTTTGTCTCGACCCCACGTGCTGGCCACGATGACGCGCCTTCCACAATAAAGTTCAGTGGCTGAAGCTGCCACAGTCGCATCACCACAAGCTCTACCCCACTGTCCCAGACTCCATACACACAGGAACGCAAAATCCAAACCACCGACTGTATCACCAGGGAAAAAAACTTGTAGATCGACTGCACGCCTTGCTACATCCCAATCTCCGACCTAATCCACTTCTTATACGCCTAGCTTACTCATATGTGCAGCAACGGAACTTCGGACGTCTTGGCTCAACCCCACATCCGCGCTCACATGCATCCCGCCTGACGTAGTCTAGTCTGGTCCCTCGTTCCCAATCCACTTACAGCTTTGCCCCCCAATCGCGGGTGCGGGGTAAACTTCAGCTACGTGTGGTCACGCGTTTTAGCTGTTTGCCTCGGCTTCGGTTCTTTAGGTAGTTACCTTGGGTTTGTGGATACTTCGTGCTGACGCGTGTGTTTATCGTGAGGTACAGCTGGGCATGGATGGCGGTCCGAATGTGACAAGAGTGTTATTGGTCCGGTAGATGGGTGAGGTAGTTTGTGGGTGAGGGTTGTGCACTTTTTCCGTGTGCGTAACTTCGTATCTATTGTGTTGGAAGGCCGTAGACGGGGCTGGTGTGGGGTAGAGATAGGGTCGTTAGCTAAGGGAGAGTCAGGGTAGCTCGACGCGTTATGGAGCTTGGGTGTTGGTGCGGGGAAAGGTATATGTACTGGAGGTGTCTCTCGGGTTGCTTCAATCCGTCTTCAATTAACCCATCCTGACTGCTCCTTCCCCCTCCCCGAAGCGTCTCGTCCGAACTGTCTCTACATCGAGTGGTACACTACATCAACCGTCCAACATGTCCCTTCCCTCCAAATATAAAGCCGCCATCTACGATGCGCCCGGCTCTATCTCCACCAAAATCGTCGATCTCGACATGCCCGAGCCCGGCGCCGGCGAAGTCTTGATCAATCTCACACACTCTGGTGTCTGCCATTCCGATCTAGGCGTTATGATGAACTCGTGGAAAACATTACCTTTCCCCACACAAGCCGGACAAGTCGGTGGTCACGAGGGCGTAGGCAAGATCGTAAAGATGGGACCAGGAACAGAGAACTCTGCGGTCAAGATGGGGGATCGTGTGGGAATCAAGTGGATGTCGGGGATTTGTGAGACATGCGAGGCTTGCAGGGCGGGTATGGACGCTTCGTGTTTCTCAGGAGTGAGTTTTCCCTATATATATGACCAAAATCTGGACTGCGATTACTAATTCGGGTGAATAGAAAGTCTCAGGATACTACACACCGGGAACCTTCCAGCAATACGTCCTCTCTCCCGCAAACTACGTCACGCCCATCCCCGCAGACCTCGACTCCGCAGCCGCGGCACCGCTCCTCTGCGCAGGTGTAACTGTCTACTCCGCGCTCCGCAAGACAAACGCCGAGTCAGGTGCTTGGGTCGTAATATCAGGTGCTGGAGGCGGACTAGGTCATTTGGCCGTGCAATTCAGTGCCAGGGGAATCGGCCACCGCGTCATCGGCATCGACCACTCTTCCAAGAAAGACATCGTCATGGAAAGCGGCGCGGAGCACTTCATCCCCGTAGACGGCACAGAGAACATGGTCGAAGCTGTTCAAGCACTCACAAACGGTCTCGGCGCTCACTCCGTCGTTGTCTGCACAGCGAACAACATGGCCTACGCTCAGTCTGTAGACCTACTTCGTTTCGGCGGCCGCGTGGTATGTGTCGGTATCCCCGAGGGCGACGTCGTACCCATCAAGAGCGCAAACCCTGGTGTCATGGTCGCCAAGGCGCTGCAGATTGTTGGTTCTGCGGTAGGATCAAGGAAAGAAGCGATTGAGACGATGGAGTTTGCGGCGAGGGGTATTGTTAAGACGCATTTCAGGACGGAGAAGATGGATAAACTTTCGGATATCTTCAATGAGATGCATGCGGGTAAGCTGCAGGGTAGGGTTGTGTTGGATATGACGGCATAGGGTGGACGGTTGGATTCGTGTTGAGAGTATTAGAAGTATACGGCAATATCATGAATGTCATCAATTTCACGAACTTCTCAACTGCTCTTGTGCGGTAGTAGCCTTCGTAATACCTGTATCTTCCTTCTAGCGTCTAACAGTTGAGCTTGATAGCCTCTAGTTATGGCTATCTATTCATCTTCTAGATTATCCCAGTGGGATACATGAAGCAGTGTACCACGCGCTCTGAGATCCTCAATCTATGCTGCGTGCACAGTCTGCAGCCACATTCATGAAAGTATTTGAGTAAAAAGCCGTGCTGCCAGCTTATGTTCGCCTCAGAGACAAGGATCGGTGCGTTGAACAGGTCGTGGAGCGCGGAGGCTGCTGATGCGCCGTCGCAGAACGCGTGTTGTTGTTGTTGTTGTTTGGACTAGCTGAAGTCAGCGTCCTGTTAAAAGGCATGGCCAGAGCAGTACGACATACCTGCACCGCGTCTCGTCTGCCCCTCTCAAGATATTCCGTCCAGTCTTCTCCACCTCCTGTGGTGAACCTTTCATACCGTACCTTGACGTCTGCGCCACCATCCCTCGCACGACGGTATACCGATCCTACCATCTCATACAGATTACGTTTGGTACTCGGTTCATGCAGTATCCCTCCAGGACCTACTATGGGAGCAAGGAAGCAAAGCTCCAGCACAACGGCATGATCTGTGTAGTTGAGCGTCTCTAACCCTTCTAGACGATCAAGATACATTGCGGACAGTGACGGTAAGTCGAGAAAGACATGTTGTGAATAGCTTGCTATTTGAGCTCTGCTCACACCCGTTGCAACATCTTCGGCGTCGTGAAAGGCGGTGTCGCTGCGAAGGTACACACGTAATTGGCGGACAAGATTGCGGAAGTATACCCCCGGCCGGATCTCGATATTCAGTAGGTGTCTAACGTTTAGACTGGTTCTGGAGCCCCGGAAGTAGAAGGGGGTTTTGCGAAGCGCTAGGTTCTGGAATTCAGTACTGGCTGATGAACCCATCACAGCGACGGAGAAACAGTAGTCATGCATGAACGGATTGAGCTCTTCGCGCATGGCTTTCGCATGCTCGCTCGCTCCAGCGCTGCCAGATTGCAATCTTCCGTTCACGATCTCGACCTTGGGATGTTCCAGTCTTGGGATGACTATCGGCTTGCTGATGTCGAAGACATGCTCGTAGATATTCTCACGGACCTCCAACGGAAGCGAAGCGTGAATCTCGCTGAGGAGCGGCGCGAGAAGCTGACCGGAGCATTGTTCAAGGTCGGCCTTGATTTGACTTGGCGGTATCAGCGACCACTTCTACGACCATAGACAAACCAGACTCACTTCGTGAAGACGCCTTTCCAATCTTGCAGCACGTTGAGCTTTTCCGATCTGGTGATGCGGGGGACCTTGATTTCATCGGCGATCCTGAGAGGTCAGTGGTAAGCCTTTGAGACAGGCTAAGGCCCATACCGCTCTTGAATTTGCTTGAGCAATCTGCTCTTCCTGAGTCTAGTCAGTAGCGTGTCTAGAAATTGCAATACGGTTGATATACTTCAGGATCGTGCGCTGCCATTGCTCTGTGCACTGGTTGGCATCCATATCTCGCTAAATGTCAATCTCCCGCCGTTGGATCTAGAGCGATCGCTAGCGTTAGTAGCGCTGGGTTGCGAAAGAAGAGATGAAGATTCAAACTTTTTCGACATCACGATGATTCTGGATCAGATACGCGGTCTCCGTTACTAGCGCAGAATACAAAGAGGGGTTCCAGCTCTGTGCGCAACGTTACACAGCGTGTAGCGTGTTGTCTTCCTCCAATAGACTATGTGTTGACTACCCGAAATGTGGGAGCGGAATACAAGACTCTCTATGCCAACCTTTGAATGTTAGCAGCCTTGACACGTTCTCACACTATCAAAGCCAGCAAGTACGACCTCCAAGCAACGGGTCGCTACGACATATAAGCGGTTGGATTGATGCCCTCTTATCTCCTTACGCGTTACAAGGCCAAGCTGACAGAAGATCTGAGAAAGGTTCCGATGATACGAGCCGAAACCACCGTCACGGATGTGACCGGCAATCAAACGATACGCAACAGGGTCGCAATCACGGACCCTCGATCATGTGCGGACTAAGAGTTGATCGGGGCACTAGATGTGCGATGTCGAAGTCCGTGTGGGCCGTAGTGTGTATCACCGCGCCGGACGCCCACTCCTATTCGCATGCGCACGCCTTACACGAAGGGTCTGGAGGGGCCAGGTTTCTCCAGAGGTCTCTGATCATTCCGCTTCGGTTGAAGATATTCTGTGTAGCCAACAGCCTCACCCTGGTAAGGCCAGCACAGCTCCTTGCAGTGCGACGTCAGCGACGTCATGGTCACAGCTAGAGCGAACCTTGGATCACCGCTAGTCGTCCAAGGACCAGGCAGATGCAAATGATCAGTGATGTTGGGGTCGAGAAGCTGAAACGAGATGGAGTTCGATGCACGGTGCCGTGGGGTTTCGACATACATGAGATGTGCCTGGTGCATCAATAAGGCGCAGTGCTTATAGAGTAGTTCGAGGCGGACGTCGTGTCCGGCACAATGGCCCCAAATTAGTGCGGCACCAGGGCTGAGCAAGCAGTCGCGCCGCAAATAGCACGGCCCCAGCGCCAAAACACAACAACCTTGGATGTCTCTGATTGCTCCCCACTGCTATGCCTCACTACAACGCATCCTTGTGATAACGTTTATTGCGCAATGAGGAGCCGTACATGTCCCGGGGGCGTGCGTCATTGGGTTTTCGCCCGCCTGCCCACCCATGCTGTCCTGTCCGCCCACTCGGAGTTGGCCTCCATCTCATCTCACTCAGCTCAGCTTTCGCCGGGCGCTGCATGCATCTTCTGTGCGGAACGCCACGGCCGGGCTATTCATGGAGCTCAGTGGTGTCTAGCAGTGCCTTAGGTTATGATTATCTTGGCTTCGGACGATATACAGTCCATGCCCTGCCACCATGCCCGAGTCACGGCTTCGATGGGAGATCCCTTATCCAACTACTCACCCTCAGCAACTCCAGACTGCTACTCGTACATTTTCTGCAGCCTAATACGTCACTAATCGACCCGCTCAAGCCCACCTGCCCATGTTGACACATTGCTCTGAGTGATCAGCCTCACCTGGCGCACTGAAGAGAAGGATGTCAGCTTTACTTAAGCTAAAGCCGAAAAAGTCAGCTACCATCTTACGCGCAGTTCCAGAAAGTACTAAAGACGATGCGGCTCTCCCCTCTCACAATCACAACACAGCGACCGAGGGTCGCAGGGACGGCAATGACGGCAACCGACCGTCGTCAGCAGGTTTGACCGTACCGTTGCCTTCAAGATCAACATCTATCTGGGGTAGGAGACGGAAGAGCATTGCTTCGGCAGTGGTCGCAACGGGAGCCAGTAATACTGCAGGTGGACTGTCGGCATCAAGCCACGCATCGCTTGTAGGCACCATCGGCACATATAAGCACGGCAAAATCCAATGGCGAAAGAAGAATCGCAAAACGGTCACTAAGCACAAGAAGAACATTCCGAGCGGGGCCAGACATCCGGCTGCGAAGCCTAAGATACAAGTGGTAATCCCTTGTGGAAAGCCACTGCCCGCTCTTCCATTCCTCGAAACGGGCCCTACCGATCTCGAAAGCCACCACGAGGTCTCGCCTCCGTCAGCAAGCCACCATCGCATACGAGATTCCATTGTATCTCCACTTGCGCATCCGCAAACACAGCACACAATCCGCCAAACCGCTCCAGTGAATACGCGATACACACCGAACCAATTCAAGAGTAGCTTCGAGTCTAACAGTTCGTGTAACGAGTCGCAAGATAGCGATGCTTCATCACTGCACAGCAACCACTCTTCAGAGACTAGCGTGGAGGTCGATAAATCTCCGACACAAGGAAGCACCTGCCAACCTTCAGCGCATCTTCCGAGTGGCCAGACCCTGGCGCCTAGAGGTACTCTACATGCTCGCTCTGAGCTCACCCTATCTTTCAACGGGAGCCAATCCCATGCACCGCCGTCGATAGCGCCCCGAGAATACATCCACCCGTCCTCTAGCGATGAGAATCTCCCCTTCCAACCAACTTGTGCTCTCCATGTAGCTCAGAGCAAGCCACGATTGAACCGAAGGTCCTCAAAGCGGAGCGGTCCGCGGCAGAACTTAGCCGCGGATGCAAGTATGGGCATGATCAACGAGGCGAAACCCTCAGGAACTGAAGCGTTTCCAATCCCTCCACGTGCGTCCAGCCCTACGTTGAGCGAGGCTGAGTTCGACCTGCACGCTCAACTGGCTTCTTCGTTTGGCAGCAACAGCGATCCTCGCATGCTTGCCCAGGATGGGACGCCCCTTGCAGAACGCAACCCTTCCTGGAGGGGCATGCGTCAGGCGTCAGCTGGAGACGGGAAGCTTATTGATACTACAGGCCAGCCCCGAAGAGATTTCGCTAATGCTGTACTGCCTGATAATCCTCCTCCGGCTGTCCCGCGTAAATCCAGCAGGCGGCGATTGGCAGCCAGGACGACTGTTGAAGTCAACCGTCTACCGCGAGACCATATCGCTTCACAGCTGAAGCGAAAGTCCTTTCGCACGAGCAGAACATTGACACTTATGATTCCGCAATACAAGCGTTCCAGTGTGGACCTGGTGTTTTCTCCGCGAGCTGTTTCTACCAAAACCACCAAACCACCCATTACGTCTGACGGAGCTGAGAAAGTCATACTCAACATCTTCCAACATCTAGATCACTTCAACGATCTTTTCGCCGCAGCCTCCATCAACCGAGGCTTCTATCGTGTGTTCAAACGTCATGAACTCGATCTCATCAAATCTACCTTGCAAAAGATGTCACCACCAGCCTGGGAGTTTAGAGAGATCGCCTTTCCTGGACACGAACTTCTACTTGCAGCAGACCTTGAGACGACACGACCTGCAGAGGAGTACACCCCAACTTCATATCTCAAGCTCCAGAAGCGAGACATCCAAGTCATCCGCACAATCAAGTCGGAGATTATGGAGAAATGCCAGTCCTTCGTACGACCAGAGATATCAGCTGCGCTCATGAGCGCCTGCCCAGCCGAGTCTGCTAGGGTTGACGATGCGTTATGGCGCATATGGACATTCTGTAAGCTATTTGGCTCGGGAAAAGGACGTGAGGAGGACATTGTTGCGCAGATGGACTGGCTCAATGGTGGTATGCTTGTCCATCAGGCGACCTGCACCTTCAGCATGATGAGCACAGACCTCATGAGCGACACATTGGTCGGTGCACCTGAGTGCTTCGGGCAAGGGAACGAAGGCGGCCTTACCGCCGAGCAACTCTTCGACATGATGGAACTATGGACCTGTCTTTCCGTCCTGCTACAAAACTTCGAAGGGCGCACAGTTCAAGCCCGACAAGCCGGTATTTACGACAACACCGACATTCGTGGTGGCGATATTGATGGCGAGGAGATGATGCTTGGTTCGTCTATCCGCTGCATAATCATGGATCTTGCTAACCAGACCAGACGAATGGATCTACCACCTCCTCACCTTTGGCCTTGATACTGTTCTCAAGCTCACTGGCCCGTTCCACCCCTCGGATCCCAAAGCCTTTGTTATTGCGGCGGAGAACGGATGGGTCAACTGGAAGCCTCCTGTGCTTGACGGTACACGACAATACTTCCTCAAAGAAGCAGCCCGACGCGTCTACGAAGACAAGATTGCGCATACCTATGCTAAGATCTCAATCCGCGACGTGCAGCGCCAACAGTCCAAGATACGTATTCAGAAACACATTGACGAACTCAAGGATCGCAAAAGGAATGGTGAGCAACGACCAATGGTTCTCAGGGAAAGACCCATGTCAGACTGGGATACTGTGATTCGAAACTTGACACGCCCTCCTCTACCACCACAAGGCCCGGGAAAGGACATCATCACTCATGTTCCGGCACTGAGATCATCTTCTGTGGAAGACATACCGACATCTGTGCCTCTTCCTAGATCGAGGTCGACATCCAGCAGAACAGCTTCACCACCTCGGCGAACTGTGGCTCAGCCTTTGCTCCCATCACCGCCCCCCTCCACAGTTCCTAGTAACCATGATCGACATAGCATTTCGTCAATCCTAGCACCTATCAGGGAACGGACACCCTCACCGCCACGTCGAACGGTTGCTCAGCCCCTTCTACCATCTCCCTCGGTCACAACAGTCCAGAGCAACCGCGATCTATACACCATGGGCAGTGTATCAAGCGCAAGCTCTCCACCCCGCCGCATGTTTGCTCAGCCGCTTCTGCCGACACCCTCCGCTTCCACGGCGACAAACAGTCGTGATTGGCATCGCTACAGCACAGGCACATCTATGCCTTCTATCCTCGAGGATCCATTACATCATCCTCTGTCCGAACCACCCGGACCGCCTCACCCCGCATTCCGCCCTCATCCCATGTCAATGCCTTACCGTGGCCGCCACATGCGTCAGAGTAGTAGTCAGTCATCTGCCGGAAGCTCCACTCCCAGAGGTGGAGCCCTCCAACAGCACGAACAACAACACCACATCTATGGATCTCGGAGTCATGAGAACACGGCCGATAAGGCCATATGGCGGATTGTCGAGATGGGTTTCACAGCCGAGCAGGCCCGAGAGGCGCTAAGGTTAACCGATCTGGGAGACGGACTGAGGGTCGACCGAGCGGTGGAATTGCTGCTTAGTCGGCAGACATGAATGAGCTGGTGTTTGCAGAGTCGGAAGGATTCCGCTCGAGACAGATAATTTCCTTTTGTGGTAGGCGTTGCGATTTTGTCCTTCATTACAGCGCGTGCAAGATACCCCATCCTTTCGTTTGTGCATCTTATCATCAACAGTCTACAGTCGTTCAATGTATATTTTTACCTTTGCAGAACGGTCGGCGACCACAACCCACTTTGACATTATCATCTAACGGAATTCAACGGTTGAAGCCGCTGATGAGTCGTGGAAATTACCCGAAAGGGGACGGGACGGTATCCAATTTTAATTTCGCGGCCCCTCGACCCCAACGCTAATTCGGGATGACCCTAGCTCGATGGTTTGCCTTATTCGCATCACGATCAGGCAGTGCAAGGAAAGAAGTGGGAGCTTCGTTCGTGTATTTCCGCTCAGATCGCTCCTCAGACTCTTCTCTTCCCGCTTCTCTCCACCTTTGACTTTCCATCTGTCGACAGCGACAAAAAAACAACCTTTGCGGAGTACAGTGCGCATACTCGATGCCCGGCATGTTGTCGCAAGCGTCGATATCTGCAACATTTCTCCTCCTCCTAGCGTCGCTCCCGTCCAGCACGCCCACCTGCTTCCTCCCCAACGGCACCGCGCACCAGGACGAAGGAACTTCGCGCTGTTCTTCCATATCTGGCTCCCCGCTCTACAACACATGCTGCCAAACGCAATGGCCGAACCCACCGGGCGGCGATGTTATAAACGGCCCTACGGCGGATGAATGCATGCCGAACGGGCTGTGTCAGAACAGAGGCTTCAGCAGCGCACCTGGACAAGAAGCAGAGCCGTGGACGCACTTCTACCGGGTTTACTGTTCGAATGCGAACTGGGAGGGTTGCTTGGATGTCTGCAGAGACGGGGTATGTTGCTTTTCCTCGTTTGTGGCTATGCAGGGTGCATAAGTTTCAGAGAGCTAACAAGCGACTAGAATCTAGCAGACTCCGTCTCACAATTGACGCCTTGCGACGGAACAGCCAAATCAGAGTACTGGTGTTGTGGAGACAGCGACGCGTGCTGTTCGGCCTCCGCTGATGCGCTGGTCTCGAAGAGAATCAGGATTCCGAAGGAACTCGGAGGCGAGCAAGTAGCTTCTGCGAGTGCGGGGCCGGCTTCGCCAAGTGCTGGACCGGCTTCCTCCCGCGTGGGCACAGCTTCTTCGATCGGGAGCACGATAACTAGGAGTGCAGCACCGGTAGCGACGGGGACGGGAACGGGCGAGGAACCCACGCCATCGTCCGACGCAGCGAACCTGTCCGGCCAGAACGAGGAGAAGAAAGATGAGGGCAAATCGAACTCGGGACGCAATATCGGTATCGGCGTAGGTGTCGGCGCTGGAGTCGGTGCTCTGCTAGGTATTGCAGTGACCATGCTACTGCGAAGACGGAAGTCAAAGCAGAAGACTCGGGAGATTGAAAACGAGATTGCAGAAGAGAGGCAGAAGCAGGATCTAGCCAAAGGGTACCACCACGTGGCTGAGATGCCGCATCAGGAACCGGTATGTTGACATGCTAACGCGGTAAGGGATGTTGAGCTAACGATGAGATAGGTGTACGAGCTTCACGATGGGAACAGAGCTGATCTGGAGTTGGATGGGGCGAACAAGGCGCAGTCGTCCATGTATCGTTAACCAGCTGTTAAGCTCTTTCGAGTTGATGTGCTAGCTGATTACGAGGTAGCAGTTGTGTTGGGTATGTACGACTGGGGAGGTGATGAATGCTCATACGCAAGTCCATCTGACGTCATCCATCATAACATTCTTGATGCTTTATCCTCTTGGTCGTTCCTCTCTCGTACTTTTGTCAATTCCGCGACCTTTGACTACGTTGTCTACTCGGTCTTTGGCTTGTCACCCTGTTCATCTTTTTTGACAGCTTCCAAGAATGCTAGGGCTGCGGTACCGCAGGTTCCTGTCACACTTGAGCCTACAGCAATCGCCTGGACGATCGCAAGTCCATATCCTCCCATCGCGGCACTGGTGAGGATGGCGAACGCGCTACCCGCAGCGATGGGAGCGACGCCTGCCTGGAATGCAGAGGCCATGGAGCCTATTTCATATGTTAGAAGTCAGTTCAGGGATATGATGAGTGGTTGATACGTACCGGGAGCGATACCGATCGGTGTGAATCCGATAAAGCCCAGCATGGCTGGTGTGACAGCAAGAGCGATGGGGCCCGAAGCAATGCAAGCCAACAAGGTGGAGAACTGTTTAGGGTTGGCGAGAATCCATACTTTGAGCCTCTCGCTGAATCCCGCAAGATCCTCCTTGGTAAATGCAATGTTCGGGATTGCGGCCTGACCAATGTCATGGAGGATGTCGCCGCTGCTTAACTTGTCCCAGAAATCACCCGCTGTAGTGCCAAGCTGCTTTGCCATGTCCTCGCCAAACTGTGCGATGAACTTCCAGTCGTAATCCTCCTTGATGTATCCGTCTGGGAGTTGCGGTAGGGACTGTAGACCTTGTTTGCCGCTGTTGTAAGCGGCTCGGGCGAGTTCCATAGCATGCTTCGAGGCACTGCCGGCGATTGGAGCAGCGTGCTTGCCGGCCTCTTTACTGAGCTTCTCTAGATGGGTTTTGGCGTCTGAGGCGACTGGGCCAGCACGCTTTGCTACCTCTTGGCCGAAAGCGCTACCGTGTGTCCATGCCTTGTCTGCAGCAGATGCTACATGTCGCACCGCCTCTGGTCCGTAGGTGTCGGCGAGTCTTCGCGCGTCTTCAAGCAATCCCATCTTGTCGGAGATTGTGATTTGATTTGTGTTTGTGGTGTCGCGCACAGTGTTCTCAGTGTTGCTGAGTGATAGGGATCATTGTTTACACTAGCGTGGGACAGGTAAATGCGGAGGTGCTGCTGTGTGACACCACGACATGCGGGGTCCTCGCATGGAGGCCATTACCGACGAGAAGACAGCCTCAATAACTCGTATCAGTCGCAGAGGTCAGAAGTTGTAGTAGCCACAAGCTGTATACGGAAGACTCTTTGCACAACATTAATGAACCTTGGAAGTAGTCACAGAACGACAGTGCACTACTCGCATAAAAGAAGAACCAAGAACGATACCTTGCACACTACGTATCCACAAGGCTAAGTCGTACGACAATTCTGGTGAGTGTATGGTCCATTCAATCTCCCATTGGCCAAGTTGGACATCGATCGTTATGAAACATTGGGGTGAATCGTGCCCGATGAGGCATGAACGATGCCTGGTAAATGTTGTTGGAGGTTAGCGACTGTGGCTCTGTCTTGCTGGCGCAACGACGAAAGCCAACTCAAGGCCAGAGAGCTCTTTCGGACCACTGCTGCCGTAGATATAGAGCACCGTTGTATACAACATGGAATGCAGTTGCTCGTGGAGGCGATAAGATTAGAGACGCGGAAATGACCGACCCGGGTCCACGTTCTAGAAGCTTGGCACGGGCCCGTTGAACAGGACTTGGAACCTGGAGGCGAGCGGACCGATATAGCGTCATAGACAACGGCCTTTAGACGACGGCGTGGAGAGTGCAAACGGGCTGTGAGTGTTTGATTGATGTGCGCGCGTCGTGTAGGCGCAGTGGCGCGCTGCTAACAGGAATGTGAGTGCCTGGCGTGAGAGGTGCAGGTGATGCAGGGCCACTTAAGCGGGGCGATAGGCTGGACGTCATCCGCGGATTCGTCTGATCGGCCTGGATGATGTGCGGGACAGGGACCGGCAGCGGCCTCGCACCAACCATCGAGACGTGCGCGCCTGTCAGAGCAGGGATGGCTGCCATGTTTGACGTGCATGTGTGCAGCCTGTGTCGCGCCCAGCCTGCTGAGCTTTGTTGACGTCCCCTTATCCCCTTATAATGTCCGCCGCCGGTATGCCTCGCCTGCCTGCTGCAGGCCGCCACGATGCTGCGACGACTGCACCACGACATGGTTGACGAGAATGCCGGAAAGCTGCTGCGGAAGGACAGCAAGAGGCAACGCGTCCTCAAGTTCTTCAGGGCTTTCAAGCAGAAGCAAACACAGCGCCAGGGTGAAGTCGCTGTACCTGTATGTCACCTGCTCCTTCTCTGTGGTGTTATCGTCACGATACTCGCACGATGATCAAGAAGCTGATAGCAAACTTCCCGACAAAGGCACCGCCCAAGCACGATAACACTGCCCCGCAATCAGCCCCTCCACAAACACTCGATGTGATACCTCAAGAGGAACCGAGTGCCGCAGTCGATCATGAGAGCATGGCGCCCGTAGAAGAACTGGAGCCAGATTGCGTACCTACACCGCCGCAAGAAACCAAGGAGGACAAGTTGGAGACTCTTGGTGAGGGCCAGCTTCGTACGCTCTTCGCTGGGGCCCCGCAGTTTGGCATCGCAAAGACAGGCAGTCGCTCCATACCGACCGTCACTCATCCTTGGAACGCCGATGCTGTGCTCAAGGAAGCTACCGATACAGTTCCACTTGCCGAACCCGCCTTCTCAGCCGCGACCCTACACGAACAATCATCCAAGACCCGACAGCTACCCGAGACTTCGAAACAGTACAATGGTTATCAGGTGGACGTGGTGGAGATGCCGAGCATGGTCAGTGCCCAGGGTATCGAGCCGGGGACTGTTGGCTTCTCGCATTTCCTCGAGTTACCAAGGTCTGACACGCTGGCCAGTGAGCTGGACCAGTCTCAGTCAAGTCAAGACTCCGCTGAGTCGGTCAGGAATAAGGAAGTCATGCAGGCAACTCCTGAGCGACTGGGTATCCGTCCGGTGGACTTGAACTTGATATACGACCGCTTGGCTGAGTTCCAGGACATGTACGAGGCATTCCAAGACAGCCCCGAGCCCATGACAATCCTCAACAACCAAAGCTCTGGAGATCTGTACGCGAATCTATTCACCAAGTTCCTTACCCCTCCGGGCTACGACGACTCTACCGCAGACCCTACAGGCTTGCAGACACAAATCGTGGCCCTACTCAGGGTCTTGGGACTGAAGGGTGTCTGGTACGACTTCAGCCTTGTCGAATGGAGGATAAGGCTTGGCCAAATACTGTGGAGTGAACCCGAGCCAGCCTCAGAACACGACCACCAAACTCTATGGACCGAGCGGGAGATACTGCTACTGCAGATCACCTTGGCCTGCGAGTTGCTGCTTCGATTGGATGCCTTCACGAATGCAGATGCGACCGACGCTGAGATCCGACTTCGGATTGACGCAAAGGATATCGAAGGGTTTCTCAAGATCAAGACGAGGAAGGTTGACTGGGATTTGGTGCTCGCACGGAGATTCCTCGACAACGTCGTCATTATGAGAGGCAACGATGCGCCAGTCTCACCCAAACCCAAACTACGTGGACTACTGTCATTGCTAAGCCAAGGCGCTCACGCCCAGATACCGCAGTCAGACCTCATCATACTTCCACAGCATCAAGCGAGGCAGCTATCCGGGCTTCTTTACTTTGCGAAGACGCTACAATGGCCTAGCCTTGACGTGGTCTCGGCGGACTTAGCTCGGAAGCTTGGAGAGCAAGACAAGATCGAGGAACCCACACCATCATCACCCAGCGGAAGGTTGCTCGACATGGCCACCCCTTCCGGTATCAGTGTCTACGGTACGCCACTGCAAACACCCCTCGCTTCCGGTCAACAGCTGGACAGCTACTTCGGTCATATCGGGAAGCCCGCTCTGAATCGCAACAATTCTCGTGCCTTACGCATGCCACTTTCTCCCGTGTCGACCATCTCGGAAAACGATGCCACGTTCAGCTACAATATCGGAGGGTGGCTGAGTCGGTCTTATCTGACTGGTCTTGTGCTCCCCGGAGAAGCCATGTCACATTTCCTCGTGTCGACCTTGCTTGAGAACGACAGCAACGCTATTGCCAACCTGGGAGAATCAGCAAACTTGTACGGCGGATTCACCTTTGGCGACAGAACCTTTTGGAGCAAAGCTTCTGTTGTTGGGCGTATTCTAGCGTGTGCCAAAGGCTCCACAGAGTGTATGGGCTGGATCTCATGTCCAAAGCTACCCGACAGCCCTGCCGACCGTTGGTACTCGATTCACAGCGAACTTCTTCCGCACGAGAACCGGTTGCGACCAAGAGACGGTTCTGACACAGTCGCCGAAGAGTCAGCTATCGCGCCAGTCGATTCTCTAGCTTCATTGAGGTCCGAGGACTTTGTTCTCCCCCAGGATCCTGATTCGTACCTGGCTTCCTCTTTGGTCTTCTCGCAGTGGGAACTGGTCCCAATCAACACGGACCTCATCGATGGCGACAGCTTGACAGGACCGCCAACCGAAAGTGACATTCATGCTCCGTCGATGACGTTTGTCACCAGAGGAGATGCAGTGAGCCACACCATCACGTTGACATACGATGTTCAATTTGTCACATCTTTCCCCTGCACTACAGCTGCGTCTGCGCCTCCCTCGTTCACGCATCGCCCTAAGGTTCTGAGGCGCTCTGGCACTGGAACAATTTCGAGATCCTCTTCAAAACACAGCGTAACTCTTTCACGCCGCAACAGCCATGGCTTTGAGCCGCTCCTATCGCATCCACCGGATGCCTCAGACATCGCGCCAAAGCGGATGTACGAAGCATCTACCGGACCAGAAGTCGAGACGCTTGCGACTAGCAGTAAGCCCATGAACGCGCATCCTCTACACCAGTCGTACTCGTACAAGATCGTGCCAGTCACCGATGTTCTGGACCCTAGCTTCTTACTGCCGTTCGAGCTTCACACGTCCAAGTCTACAGAGCGCCTACTTGATCTGTCGCGGAGCAACGACAGCGATACAGCGGAGACAATCAAGAATAACAAGAAGGCTGTGTTGGTACTAGATGCCAGGGCTTCGTCTGATCTTCAGTTGCTCGCACGAGCCTGGTGTGCGGAAAAGGGCCTTCATGCGATCGTGAGTCGTGTAGGAAGGACTTGTTTGGCTTGCTCCATTCGCGAGGCCAGAGGTTTAGGCATCCACATTGTGATCAGAGTCTAGGCTGCCGCGTGACTACTTGGTCACTTACGCCAGCACTGCAGTTTTTGCTACATTTCTCAAATTGTCACATCGTCTTCCAGACTAGGAGTTGGGGGTTTGGTTTTGCTACAGGCCATTATTGCGGGCGCGCATACAAGATACCCACATTGTGAATGAATACTACTGTTACTCTGCATTGAGCATGTCCCATGATCCGTTGCCACGTCCTTTACTTGTTTGAGAATCGCGTGAGACAGAAATACTGTGTACCCACTATCTACGCGCGTTTGCAATCAGCCACCGCATTCACTCCGAGACCGCATATCTCGTATTTCGATGACAACTGTGCGATTGCAGAGGCTGTGTTTTCCTACCCTGAGTTCCATTAGCAAGATCGGCGGCGCTCACAGCCACGTGCTGCTAGCCGAGGGGGGCGGGCTGTGTGTCTGTGGGTGGCCTGGCGTGCCTGATCTCACGCGAAGCGCGTTTGAACTTTCGCGGATCGAAAATCAAAAACTTCGAACACCGCTCACCAAGGCTCTTATCACTTTGGAATCTATATCTACGACGTGTCAATTATCACGATCTTACTTTGTTTCTGCTGTCGACAAAATACATCATCATCGACCCTGACTTACAAGCTCACCTGGTCTCTCTTCTTACATCATCCTTCCTTCCTCCTTCGTTCAGCACCGACCCTCTACCACCAAAACTCACCCAGCAGTCGCCACTCTCTCCCCCGCATCCACGATGAATTACGCCCCGATGAACCCAGAGACGGAGGAGTTCACACCTGCGC